ATCATCTTCTATTTGTACGGTTACGGTTAAATCACGTCAATATTTTATATTACTATTATTTTTTGTCTTATTATCTCTATAAAAAAATAATATAAAATATTGATGTGGTTTAACCGTGACCCCACAAAATAGGAGGGGATGAGAATCTATGAAAAGTGGAATGGCAGAGAAGCCGATTCTATTCCAAAATTAGAAAGAAGAGGAAGCAAAATTTTAAAAGTTTAACCGACCTGATTCCATTTAATTTTATAAATCATGTACAACTATGAAAAACATAATACGTGTTTTATACAATAATCATTTTTGGTATCTCTTAATAAAGAAGGACGTGTGAGTCATCACCTGATGATTAAGAACTAAACTGAAGTTATCAGCTGAAATTACAAGGTACTTGTAGCTCAATCGCAGACAAGCACAACGGTGTTTCGTGTTCGATTATTCCTCCCATAATTTAATTGATTAAGAAAAATCATCTATTTTTTCCGTAACTTAATTAATTATGAACATTCACCTTTAGTATAACTTAATTAATTAAGGACATTTACCTCTCTCTCTCTCAGTCATAAGTTGATTAAAAACATTACTGAGTTTTATCGGTTCAAATCATTAATTCAATGAAATCCATTTATAGAATCTGAATCACTCTCAATTTTCGTTAATTGTTTTATTCATATATTTTAGTAAATTTTCCATCAATTAACCAGAATTTATTATATTCCTTTCAGTCCAATCCTTCTCTCCAAATTAGGGTTCTTAACTTCTTATTAGGCATTTCTAGCCTCCCAACTTCTGAATTCCTCCAAAAAATCAATTTCTCAATTTTTGGTGCAAATACCGCAGGAAAATATATATACCCGCACAAATAGAAATAATACGAACAAACGAAACAATTAATGAAATAATCGACAACGAAACAACTAACCTGGATAAACCAATGAATTCAGAACCCGGTACACGGAAACGGAGTGCACGGAAGGAATGTACGGCGAGGGATAACGGAGACATCACAACTAACGAATAGGGTCACAAAACGGGTAACTGTGAAATGGAGACGATGAAGAATTGTACTGGAATGTGAACCCAAATTTTAACGAATGCGATCTGTTAATTTCGAATTTAATTTGGGGTTGCTAAAATAATTGATGCTTATAAGGAAGTTAATAAGAGCATCTCTAATGAAGATGTCAAAATCTTAGATAGAATGTCATTGTGCATATTTAACATAAAAAATCTCTCTGACCGAAGTGTTATTTGCTGATTGGTTTTGAAGGTTTAGTGATTTGATGTCAAATTTGACATCAATGTCAAATTTATTTTTAATTAATTTTAATAGTGGATCCCTTATTCCTCTAACATTTCAACCAATAAAATTTTTGTTTCAACATTTTTTTAATAATTACAATCATTTAAAGTTCTATTTAAATAATAAAATAATACTTAACAATTCAGTTAGAGAAGTACAAAATTTAACATAAGGTTTCAAATTGCCACATCAGCCATCAATTGTAATTTGACATTTCATTCAACTCTTATAATTTGACATTTCATTTAGAGATGGTTTAAAGGTGCCAGAAAGCTTGGAGTCACAAAAAAAAGAATGGCGCCCCAATCGATACAAATTCGTGTATTTATATATACAAAGCGGAAATCATAGCAGCTAAGAGCAGCTCCAGTGGGAGCTTTTGCTCGAGGGACAGTAGGGAGAACATGGTCAGAGAGCCCGAGGGATTTGGTCTAGCGTGTGGCAACCTGAGGGAGCGGCCTGGCACGAGTTGCCAGCCCGAGAGCCCGGAGTGGGTGTGACGTCAGCCTTTTTTTTTATTTTTTTTATGTTAGGCGCGTGGCTTTCAAGTGCGCGTGGCACGCGCGTCAGGAGACATAAATTCAAAAATGGGGCCCGCGGCCCACTCATATTTCTTACCGTTAGGAAGCCACGTGGCTTCCCATGGTCTGTTGGATTTCAACGGCTATATAATGTGGACCATCCGATTTGCAACGGTAAAAAAAATTAAAAAAATCTTATTTAATATCAACCGTTGATCTCAGATCCAATGGTTGATATTATTCTCCTTTATAAATAAAAAAGAAAGAATAGTTTTAAAATTAAGAAAAGTTACCGTTGTGCCACCTGGCACAATCTGGAGTGTTGGAATTCAATTTTTTTTTTAAATCCAACGGCGGAGATTAATTAGTTGAATAAAAAAATTTTAAAAATTGTAAAAAATCCGAAAAAAAAAATTTGTTTTTACTTTTCTATAAATACCTTATCATTATCATCTACATTACACCACAATTTCATATTTTCTCAACTACTTTCAATCATATTCCTATCTTTCTCTCAAAGATCCATTTTTTTTTTCAACAAAATGACTACTGATGCAGGTACGAATTGGTCACTTCTTGAAGATGTTGTGTTGTGTACTAGTTGGGTTGCGTTGTGTAAGAATGCTTCAAAGAGAAAAGGGAGTGCTTCCAAAAATGATTATACAAAGTACATAGAAGAACTTGCTCGCCAAGGTGAATTGACTTTGGCGCGGGAAATGGCGAAATTTGAGGCTGATAAGGCTAGAGAGGAGGCAAAAGTTATAGTTGTTGAGAGAGAATTTCAAGCTAATGAGAGAGAAAGAGCGCTATTTAGGCAAGAAAGGGAACAGGTTAGAGAAGAAATAATGGCTCAACGAGATCATGAAATTATGAACACACCTTTAGAAGGGAAGTATCCAAATTCTAAATATTTTTGGAAGTCGGAGAAAGTGGACGTGGTGCGAAGGATGCGTGCAAGAGAAGCGAGAGCAAGAGAAGATGGTCCTAGCACAACAAGAGAATATCATCCTAGCACCACAAATTGGTTAAGTGATGATGAATATAGTAGTTTTTGTAATCGGAGCCCATAATTTTCCAATCACATTGAGTTGTAATTTATTATTTATTGAATAGAGTACTTTATGTTGTTTCCAATTTATTGAATTTAGTACTTTATTTAAAGTGAGAGTAAATTTATTTAATTTGGTAAGTTATTTATACTAAGAGAATATTTATTCAAATAACAAAAACACACCAAATAAAATTACATAAACATACCAAATAATAAAAAACTCACTAAAAAAAGCACACCAACTAAAATTAAATAAACACACCAAATAAAAACAAACACACTAAATGAACTTAATTATCTTCAGCTTGTTTCAATGCCCACTAGTGCTCTATCAAGTCATTTTGCCGGGCATTATGCATATATGGCCTTTGAAGTGCAGTATATCGTTGAATGACCAATTAATTGTAACGTCCACCCCTTTCTAATGGCTCATGTTGCACGGGTTATTCGATGGCGTCATGAGCACAATATATACGTGTTCTTGAATTGTTCATCATATCTGGCTCATATTCATCAACGACATCATAATCGTACTCATCTTCCACAATCATGTTGTGAAGAATGATGCACGTCATTATGATGGATCGAAACGACTCTACATCAAACATTCTGGAAGCACCCCTGACAATCTCCCATCGAGCTTGGAGGATACCAAAACAACGCTCCACATCATTCCTGCACTCCTCTTGACAGCTCGCAAAGTGTTTTTCCTTTGCACTTCGCGAATGTGGCACTGTTTTGACAAACGATGCCCACCTTGGGTAAATGTCGTCTGCTAGGTAGTATGGCCCGTCGTACATACGTCTGTTGACCTAGTACGTGACATTGATGCCTTTCCTTGTAGGACATCGTTGAACACTGTGGATTGGGTAAGGACATTGAGGTCATTTTGAGCTCCCGAAAAAGGTGTGCCAAATCTATGTATCAAAAGATTCCACCGCCTCCAAAATGATACTTTTTGTTAATTTTATGTCTCCATAACCGCCTTGCCATGCACTTGGACAATTTTTCCAGGTCTAGTGCATACAATCGATGCTTCCAATCATCCCAGAAAAACCTCGCATCTCACCTTTCTTCAGAAGCCTTTGCAAGTCCATTTCAGTAGGTTTCCGGAGGTACTTTGCGGTGTAGATAGATTCGATTGCTCCGCAAAACATCATCAGGGACTCAAGAATGGTTGATTTCCCCATCTTCGTTATCTCATCCACTTGGTCTGTAGATGCTCCATATGCAAGCATCCGCAAGGCAGCAATAATTTTTTGCTGAGGAAGGAGACTTATAGCACCAAAAGCATCATTCTTTTGCACAAAGTGAGAATCATGGTTGCAAACAGCAATCATGATTTTTTTTTAACAAATGTCGTTCCATTCTAAAACGACGTCTAAAGTACGTATCAGGGAATCCACTATTACGGACAAAATAATTGTACAAGAGTTCCGTACCTCGTCGTTGCCTGTTTCTATCAAGGTTTCCGGAATGGCTAGGCCTACAGATCTGACCCATAGCTTGGATGACTCGACGGGAATGTGAGGCTCTGCCCATTCTTGCTTCGTCATCTCTCATCCTACGTTCCTCATCCTCTTCCCTCTCAGTTTAGGCCACCTGGAGATTGAACATTCTTTCTGATTGGTTAAACAATTATTCCTCTTGCTGATCGATTTCCCACATCATCCTTGAAGAAGAAGACTTTGTAAAAATGAAGCAGAAACTATGAATAATGATAGAGATTTTGGTGAAGAAGGAATAAAAAACTATGAATAATGATAGAGATCTTGAGAAAATTGGTGTGAGATTTGTGAGGAAGGATGGTGGATTATACGGAGGATTCAGAAAAGATTAGGTTGTAGATAATGCCACGTGGCATGCCGTCATTCGTTAAAAATCTGATGGAAATCTATCCTCAAAGACGGTAAACAGATTATGACACGAGTCGCGACGTGATTGCTTAATAATCTTATCAGAAATCCATCACCAATAATTGTATTTTCGGATAATGACAAGTAGCGCAACGAGAACGATTAAAAACCTTATCCGAAATTACAAATAAAATTATTTTGTATTATTTTATAACTTTTCGGATAATGACATGTGGTGCAATGAGAATGATTCAAAATCTTATCCGAAATTACAAATAAAATTATTTTGTATTATTTTATAAATAAAAAAATTACTAATATTTTATTGCCTATTGTCAGGGCTATTGAAGTGCAATGGTGAAGATGCAAAAGCTGGTTACTGTTCATTAAGTTCACTAGGTAGATAGCATAGTGCATTGCCTTGGGAGGTTCCCACGCTAGAACTGCTCTAAGGTTTCAAATATAAAACCCCCTAGTTGTAGTAGCACTTTGGTCAATCAATCGGTCAGATCACTCGGGCTTCGCCGGATCCAGACACGTCATCACCCAACGAGCGCCACCTTACCTCCTTGCCGGAAAACTAAGCAATTTGTAGAGGAAAGCTCAAAAGCACCAAATCCGACTCCTTTTTTTAATTTCAAAATTGGGGTTTCAGATTACTAGTCGGACTTGGACATGGCGGAGAGCCGGCTGGGCTGGGGACAGAAATCGGCTCTCCGCCTCTGGCTGTGGGAGGAGCAAGGCTCTCCATGTACAAAACCACTTGGGAAGAGTGTACATCCCCGGCAAAGACGGCTCGGAAGTTTCTGTCTGCCTGATTGTAAATGACTAGTTTCCTTTGATGCAAGAGGATTAGAATCTCCCCGTTCTTCAAAATACTCAGAAGTGACATCAGCCCTAGGTATTCAGAATCCATCTTCCGCGGAATGGTAGTGAAAATAGACCAAGATGCCTTGACCCCGTACTCATTCATTAACCACACCTGGTAATCAGACCCATGAGGGCTGTGAAGCATACTCAGCCGCCCTCCTAAAACCCCCAAACCATAGAACGAGAAATTCTTGTCGCCGTCTCCCGGTAGGGGAACTTGCCGGTACGTCTCCTCCGCTATATCGAAAGAAACGATTGAGAAAGGTCTCTCATCGTCACCATTTGCGGAAGCTTGATCAGTAGTCTTTCCGCGGCGGACTGCCCAGTGGAGAGCCCCGTTGAGTAGGGTTCCGACAAGGTTGAACAGTAAGTAAAAAGGCAGGGTTTCGGACCTGGCTCTCCATGTATTGGTCTTCAAAGAATAAATGTCAAGTTGGGTGGCGAAAACGCCGGCCTTACTTGAAGAAGTGGCCCTCACTATTTTATAGTCTTCCTTGCGCGAATCGTAACCGAAGCCATAGAAGTAATCCTTACCGGAGATTGTCGGCAACTTTGGGGCTGCATGAACCTGCCTGGTGGATGGATTATAAATCATCATATCTTCCGAGTCAACCACCAAACACACCAGGCCGTTACAAGAGCCGACAATCTTCATGTCTTTGACCGGCCGCCTCATTATCACAGAGTACTCATGCTCCGCCTCCACGACCCTTGTAGTACTATTAGCACCAGTTGTGCCAGCTGCTTCTGCCTTCGCTTCTGTTTCTGCCTTTGCTTCTGCTAGACTTTCTGCTTCACCGTCGCCACGGGATGGCAAGGTTGCCGTTGCGGGTGCATCAATAGTAGTGGTATTGAGAACTTGTATGTGGACGGACTGGAGGAGGGACAAAGAGGAGAGCATGAGTCGTGCTTTTGACGATGTAGTTTTGCCGTGAGCATCATGATCATGATCACGATCATCGTCATCGTCATCTTGTTTGGTAGAGCGGATAAGGAGGTGTGACTTGACAAACTTTGGGTCGGAGATGAGAGCAAGCCATGGCTTGCATACGCTTCTGAAACGAAGAAGGGACTTCACCGGCAGTTGCAGCAGAATTTCCTCCGCAATCTCATAAGGAAGCTGCCGCTGATCATCGTGTTCATTATGCATATTGGAATGATCCAATAAGGTTCCCATGTATACAATTGGTTGAGGGAGGCTTGATGAAACTTTAGACTTTGAGTTCCAGTATTTATAGAGCAATCACTGTACTAACTGAGTGCAAGTTGAGAGGTTTGATCCTTCACCTACAGGTAAATTCCATCTGTCATTTTAGCGTCTATTTATAAATTATTAAAGGACAACTACTGCAGATTAACTAAACGATAAAGCTAGCTAATTAAACAAATCTTTAACAATATGTAATAATAAAACAAGGATTACTTTGTGGAACTTGCATATCGACTCCAGAATGAAGTCAATGATATTTGTATCGACCTTATTGAATTAACATGACCCAAAATATGACTGCCTAGACTAACCTGTACTAATTTGGAGCGGCGGATAAGCATAAACAAGACCTTTATATAATAAGTTGGAAGATAATATGCATTGGAAGCGAGCAATAAGAATAGGGAACTTTAACAAAAAGCTTCCGGTACTGTTCATTTTAACGAAAAACTACATTTTTACACTAAAAAGTCAATCCTTATATTATTCACTTTACCCTTTATTTTGTCATTATCGTTAAAACTCAAAGTTTTCAAACCACTTTAATTAGTTTTCTTATAATATAAAGTTTATGATAGACATATATCTGATAACCACGATCCGTTCATCTAATGCATCCTAATTTCAGATAGATCAAATTACTTGTACATATAAAACCGATCAGTCTATCATAAATCATCATTCAAAGTAACATGAAAGTACTTCAACTTGTATACACAATCGACCACATATAATTGAGTTTCAGTTGAGGTTTAAAAGTAGCTAAGTAAGTGGCTATAGAAGCAAATATTATAGGCCGGCCGACTTTGGGATGCGCGAGCTTGAAAGATCAACCACCGGTCAATATTTAATCTATATATGTAACACTATTAACTGACAAGGCTAGCTAATGTATTATGTAATAATACCATCTCCATCTCTATCTAACTATACAACTGACGCATGCATAAATCTATATAACAAAATAAACGTTTACAAGCATGCAATTTGATGTTGCGATTCCAATCAATACAAAACTGATTACACGCACGTATATATGTGTGTGCGCGCGCGCGCATAGTGGTTGTTGAGGTGGGAAGTGTAAATTACCTGCAGGTCGGGCGTGATCGGTTGAAGAAATTAATTACGTGGGACTTGGACTCCATTCATTACAATATTGCAGAGTGCAGAAATTAGGGTTTATTATTCATATGGTCCTCCACTCCCTCATTGCCAAGAGTTTAATGACCTATCTTCATCTTCAGCCCCCCAAGATGCAGAAAGTGAAAATTCTAGAATGCATAGATGCATAACTTATGCATATGGTGCTTTACTACAGTGGTAGAAAACAATCATGTTTATGCACTTTGGTGCGGATTGATCTCCATCGATTTCCTCACCCATAATAAAGAACTACTTAACCAACTAATGCTATCGTTCTAGTAAAAAAATAAGCTTAACATATTGTTTGGACCCAATTTTACAAAATCAGTTCGGCGTTAGATGGACGAAATATGTGGATCGTTCCTAGGATAAAGATGTTTTTTTTACGATAATTATTCTGATTAACGATATCTAGATATTATCAATCAGAATAGTTATCTTGGAATTTAAATACATCAACAAATAGATTTTTATCCAACAAAATTGTAGGTGGATTCCATCTTGTCATATAGCCTTCATGCATGGTTGCGGCTGGATATATCAGCATGGGGTTTGATTAGAGTTGTTAGATGCATGGTCTTTATGCATGCATAGGTGACTTGCAAGTGGGATAAGTTCCAGTAGTTAGTTGGATAGGTGTCTGCAACGTGTGGGGCGTATAGGCATTGAGAAAAACAAGGTGATTGTTTTGGATGTGAAAAGAGCCGTGTGTGATTATCCAACAAATTCAGTGATGGGATAAAGTTAAAGTCAAAGTGGGAATAAAACAGGATTAGCATGCAGAGTCCTTATGTGGTGATCGTTTTATTTCTCAGAATATTCCATTACAAGTCTTTAGGTGCAATTGAAATCCTCTGCTTATCATTCAGGCCGTGGCAAGCTAACTCGTCCCTATAAATACAAGATGCTGAGCAACATTTGAGGGCCCCCACAAAATCAATACAAAATTGCCCTGCGCAAACTCTCACAACTTGAGATCTTTTTCTTTTCCTTTTTCGCTGACACATCTTCCGTTGGCATCAACAGCACTGTGGAAGCACCCGGTGGTATCTTAAGTCGGCATAGATAGCTCTGTCACCGTAGAGTCGGTCGGTCTCGCAGTATCTTCCGTTGGCATCAACAGCACTGCGGCGAGAACGGTCGGTTACCTATCCAAGTCTCGGTCGAGGAGGGTTTTCGAATCCTTGTTGGTCGAGGTCATCTCATTAGCCTTCTCGGCGAGGTGAGGTGTCACATTTATTACATTCGGCACATTGCAAGCCGAATTCGGTTCGTGAACTTTGTAAGAAATAGCAGCCTTGTCTTCAGGCTCGAGAACCCAAGAGGCCGAGACGTGTTCCTTTCTCGGCCACAATCGCAAGACGCAGAAGTCAGTAGCGCGACTCGGCACAGCATTATCAAATTTACTCCTCGGCCGAGCCTCGGCCGACGAGTTGGCACGCCCCGCAATCACCGAAGGACGTAGTTAGCTTATTAATTACTCGGCCTGCGCGCCACGTAGGCTTTGTAGTTTCTAGGGTCAACACATATATTGCGGAATTTAACGAATAAATTTACGTTGAAAAGTTTGAGAAAATTTAATAGGTGGATATGATTTACTTGGAAGGCAATGTATAGTGTCATTAGTGCTATAGTTTATGGTCTTCCATTTCACTTGTATAAGTGAGAAATCTGAAGTTTTTAATTCTCGTAAATTACAAATCCGATACTAATTTTTCAAGCTGAGCTATTGTGTGATTTACTCCAATCCATATCGCTGTGTATAAGTACAATATACCCAAATATACATTGTTATATAGTAGGACTCTCCAGAGCTCTCCTGTTGTTGACCTCTCAGTGCTGATTTGGATTGGCCAACCATTTTGGGGAAAACTAATTATTTTTTAGGTTGCAATTGGGTTTGTACAAAATTGAGTTAATTACTTAATTAGTTCAACTAATTTGTACTTGTTTCCTAATAAGACCCTACAATTGTATATAAACTTGTTTGGGCCCAAAATAGTATTTTGGGTCGAGCTAAGAGTCATTCTTGACCCAGTAACATTCATCTAGAATCTTGTCATGGGCTGTCTAGTCAAGGTCAGCCGAATACTGTTGCGAGGTGGATTGGTTTAGATAAGAGTGAGGTAGTCAAACCCTAGTGCAACAAGGAGTCTTAAAGCTGAAGATGCTTAGAATTAGGGGATAATCTGGTTCATTAAGAAGCTTTGTTCAAAGTTCTATAAGGGTTAGGATTGGCCGAAACCTGATCAGGTTGGGTTGATGAGTTCTAATCTGAGTACATTTCTAGTTTAGCCATGAGAAGGTTTGTTGCTATCAATAGATAAGGGGATGCATCATTCAAGGCCCCTTAAAATCAACACATAAATTCCCCTGCGCAAAGCTTCTCAACAATCTTGACATTTTTTCCTCTTCCCCCATCTTTTGGCCAACACATCTTCAGTTTAGATAAACAGGAATGTGAAGGCAACCGTCAACATCTTCAATTTGGATAAACAACACTGGAGTCATCGAATCAGCTGACCGATGAGCATCTTTAGTTTGGATAAACAGCACTGCTTCGAGATCGACTGGTTATTATCCAAGTCTCGGTTGGCAATGATTCTTTAGTCTTTGTTGGCAGATGTCATCTCATCAACCTTCTCAGTGAAGTGAGGTGTTACAGGTTACTAGGCTTGACACATTGAACATCGAGTGTTATTTTATGATCATATATTCGCAAGTACATTTTAGAGCTCGGCATTCCGATGGCCAAACCACATTTACAATCAAGACATTTATTTTTTTTGAGTGCTTATGTCTGTATATTTTGGTACCAGTTCGACGCACTTATACTCTCACGAATATAATTACCGAGACCGAACCCAGCGCTGACGATTCGTGAACTTCAAATAAACTAGTAGCCTTATTTTCAGGCTCTAGAACCCAAAGGCTGAGACGTATTCCTTCCTTTGCCGTAGTCGTAAAATCAAGAAGTTAGTAACGCGCCCAACGCAACGTCAACATATTTTACTCCTCGACCAAACTCGGCCGATGAGTTGGCACGCTCCACACACAACCGAAGGATGGAGTTAGCTTATTAGTTACTCGACATGCGCGCCACGTAAGCTTGGTAGTTTTTAGGGTTAACATTTTGGCATGCCCAGTGGGACCCAGTGCTAGAGCTACGCAGTTCATGACCATTGAAACACGATCAATAAAAAAGAAAACAGGCATGGGTAAATCAATGAATAATCTTCCACCTACAGTCCAAAGCCCAGGACATGATGGCTTGTCACATGCAAAGAATCCTATTGCTGCCGTAACACCTGAAGCCACAAATGCAATATGCCAAGAAAAGGAAGTTAATCTTGGCGGTTAGACTCATGATACATAAATCCCCACCAAAATGACAAAAAAACGTTTTTGTTGAAGGACTAGTGGAAGATTGTGATGATGACGAGGATGAGGCCTTTGGTCCACAATCTAAGTCTTTTCTTCGAATACGATTTGAAGAACAATCTTGGAAGTTTGAGCAAATGTTCAGTTAAGAGGTAAAAAGCATACTTGAAGAGAGGTAATAGCGCTATACACAACAGGGTGCTCGAAGTTCTGGTTAATAAAGTCCGCAAAGTTGAGCCTGCTGATTGATCCAGGCAGCCTTATCTTCTAAAGAATAATTCCCTACCAGCAATGCAGGCCAAGATAGGATCTGCTCGACTCAAAATGATTGACTTAGAGAAAAATGGTGGATCAAGTAGCAGATCGGACATAATTGACTAAGGAGCAGAAACTGCACTTGTTGACATGGTCGAGGTCCAAAGAATGATTGATTCAGCCTTAAAAAATGGGTCGAAGTTTCCAAAATTCATTAACCATATCCAGCCTTTGTGGAAAGATTCGAGTATCCTAAGGGATTCAAGATTCCAGACTTTAGCCTTTTTGTTGGAGAG